TAACTCCTGTTACGGGGGTACATATATATTTTTTTCTTCTTATTTGGAAAGGTTACGTTTTTATACTAATGTTATCCTTCGTGTTCTCGTGAAGATATAGAGATTGATGCTAGTCCCTTTTATACGAGTGGACAAATTGGAAGGAATTGATCGGCGAAATCGATTAAACGGGATTATAGAAGCTGGGAGCTTGTTAAGAAACTTTTAAATTTCTTATTGTGTCCTCTTTTCTATTCTCGATACATTGATATTACTTTATGTTTTTTGCATCAGACTTCTTAGCTTTGTAAGATTAAACAAAGTAACCTCATTAAATTATTTAGTAAAAAATGGAAAGACATTTCTCCTTTAGACGTATCTTGTTGCGTATGAAAAATTTAGTTTCCTTGGACGTAGCGAATATTAGAGAGAGATGAAAAATATTTGAAGTTTCAAGAGTTAAAAATTCATAACGGTGTAATATTTAATAACTCTCTGCACACTGGATTTACGGTGCTATCACGTCGACACCGTTTATATATATTTTGCGCTTCATCTACTCAAGACTCTCTCGACCTAACGGATTAACTCGTTTTTGCGCAGCGCCATTCACACATCGTCGCGGATCATATTTCACACGCTTGACATTTTCTTTGTCTAATCTTTGCATCTCGCCGGGCTCGTTCTTAAGCTGGAAAGTCCCAACGACATGTATTTTGCCACGTGTCAAATCGTGATTAATCGACGGCGGGTCCCGGCAATCACCACAGAGAACAACTCGTCGCACCTACGCGCGGAAACGTACACACAGGACACACAGGACACACAGGACACACAGGACACACAGCCGGTGGGAACTCGAGAAAATTCGACGGGCTTCATTGTGACGAGTGACATCATTACCTTGTTTTCGCGAATTCACGATCCGGTGTCCTTTACGTTAAAACAAGAGAGCGAGCCCGAAGGGTAACGAATAGGACCCCCTTTGCAGGCGATGCAGATTCGATTAAAGTCTCCCTCTCCCGACGTGAGAAACTTTTCCAATCAAACTGGTACGTGCCTCTCTTTTTGCCCTCGCTTTTTTGCCCGCGGGATTTTTTCGCCTTCTACTTATGGGTGGGACGTTAACGTGATCGGATAGTAATTATGTCGATATCAATTTCACTGTTTTCGATTTCGCCCGCCCGCTTCGCCCATGGGAGTGGAATAATTGATGAAGAAGCGAACCGCGCGCGCGCGCGAACTCTCCCCCCAGGCAGATCAAGCGGAACGATGTTCATCGAGTTTCCACGATTTTCCCTCCCTTATGTAAATATCATTCGCGACGACGTGTAAAACGCGTCTATTTTCGCGCAAAACACGTCGTATCTGATCGCGTTTATCCGCAATTCCGAAGCGTACTATTGCGTACACTCAGCAGAGCTTACGTGAGCGCGCGCGTGTGTATATGTGTGTGTGTGTGTGTGTGTGTGTGTTTTATCGTCGAGTTACAATCGAGCTGCAGTTACGCGGTTACAGAGTTGGCAGGCCGGCTAATAAACGCGAGAAAGACCGCGATATACCTTTATCGCGCGAGCGAGACGAGAAGGCGAGTGTGAGCGAAAGATTTCACAACACTTAAAATCGATGATACGAGACAGGCGTCCCATGGCGTTGCGGCGAAACTGCACGGTACATTTCTTCGGCTTCGTGTAAGCCAAGATGGACTTGGAGGACTTGGCTCAGTTTATACGCCCGCGCTAAATGTCTACACTCTCAAAAGCGGGTTGGAACTTTCCCGCGAGAGACTGTCTTCCAAGTTTTCCGAACGAGCAGAATCGCGTCCGGCGAGTGTGTGCCCGATCGCGCGCGCGCGCGCGCGAGTGCATTAAAACGAAACTCCGGCTCTTTCTCGTTTCTCGATGTTAACGAAATTGCGCGGCTTTACACGGGGTGACCCGGCCAAAGTTAGATTAAAAACGTCACACGTCACTCAGATATCGTATTCGCGCTCTCGACATTATGAAAGAGATCCTTTCGGCGAATGCCTCCTCTTCATTTGCGTTAGCTCTTTACGCGAAAATCCGCCTGCCTCTCCTCCTTTTTTTACGTCAATTGCCGCTTTAATGTCCATGGTTGCCGAGCGTTCGTTTCCACGGCAGCCCGCGGTAATGGATCAAACTGTTTAAGCTCGCTCGAAAGGTTTGCCGAGCTACCGAATTTGCTTGTCTCTCCCTCCCTTTCTCTCTCACTCTCTCTCTCTCTCTCTCTTTCTCTCTCTCTCTCTCTCTCTCTCTCTCTCTCTCTCTTTTTGTTACTCATCGCGGGCCGCTGTATATAGATCGATGTAATGCGACCGCGTGTTCGTGCTCGATGCAATAATTATAACGTAAAAAAGAATATCCGCTTATTTGTTACGACTAACGAACGACTGACTTTCCGCACGCGTACAGTGGCATTCCCTTTCGGCGTTCATTACGAGCACCAACAAATGACCATTCGGTGTGTGCATGCGTGTGTGTGTGTGTGTGTGTGTGTGTGTGCGTTTTTGCGCGTTATTGTACGAAAAAATATAATTCTGTCCCGAAAATGAGAACGTAATATCGCAATAGTTTATAATTATTATATAATCAAGTTAAAATGGATATAATATACGTCAGTGAGAGAAAGGTGGAAGAAATATATATTACGTAAAAAGAAATACTTCATAAACATACGTTGCATGTTTTTCTTTTTTACCGACATTTAAACAGGTACTCTCTCACGTGGAAAAAAATGGCGTTGTTCCCTCTGCTCACATGGCTTTCCCTCTGGTATAATAACGGCAACGCCGGTATCCGCCGGAATTAAATTCAACATCCGCAACATAAATCGCGTCCTCTCTTAATCGATCATTCATTGGTGCATCCGTTTCTCCAAAAGGACAATCAGTATTCCGAGTGCACCGTGGACGTTGCTCAGAATTTACGAAAGCAATGGGAGTAAACTGGAGAGATTGCCCCGAGTCTACGCACGGACGCGTGATAAATTGGCTCATCAGACGAATGTAGACTGACATGATGTATCTACCGGTCGGCCACGTTCAACATTGAATTCCCTCATGTTGGGAATAAAACGTGTGTACGTACGCGTGTACACGCGTGTGTGTGCGCAAGAAAACCGAAGTCCAGACTCTTAGGCGCGACGACGTTGCGCCATGCAACAACTTCCCATCGTCCTCGCTAATTCCCACTGCGAGTAATTCCCGCGATTTCGCGGACACTGCCACTTCGTGTGTCTCGAATGCGAGCGCGCGTATGTGAAAAAGCGCGGTGACTTGCGAACTCGCGATAAACCGGTCCAATTCGCGAAAATACGATGGCAACGATAGAAGCTGACAGTCCTGCGGGACTCTCGCCTGCGGAACGCGACGCTGTCTTGGAGATCCTGAAGGAGTGCGCGGACTCATTGGCCGTTTACCAAAATACCCTGCGACAACCGGCGACCGCTGACGCTTTCCTCGAAATTGGGTACGTCCAACGAACAGCGCAATAAAACGCGGGGGTTATGACGGTTTCTGTATACACCGCAGGATTTCGGAAACGTCAATTCTGCAGTCACTCGACGGAGACGCCGCTGACGTGGGGATGACGGATTCACGGAGGGAAGCTGCGCGTGAAAAGCTCCGGCAAGACAGGTTGTTTATGCCGTCCGATAGTGTAAGGTCGATCCACGCAGCGGCGGATCCACTCAGATAGATAGGACGAGATGTCACGTGTCGGACGGGGCCTCAAGATATGTTGCGTAATCGAGAGCAAATCGATGTCGATGATAATTAAATTTCAAACGGGACAAGAATAATAAATGAGTTCTCTCAATTTCTAACGTTTTAACTTTGCGTCACAGTCGGATAGTAAGTACCGTGCATTTTTATTTTTCGTCCCCTTTTGGACGTTATCTGGATGTGAACTTTAATTTTGTGTTCTCTTGATTGAGATCTTCAAATGGATTAGTATTGCAATTTTAATATGTCTCTCCTTAATCTATAATTCAATTCTGTTAAGGTTTTCTCTCGCATTCTAATGACGTTATATATATATATATATATAATATATATATCGAGTTATTATAGATTACAAGATATACCGCGAAGCCTCAAGCCGCCACGATCCGCCGCTGCTCGATACGATAGCGTGTAAACTCGACTACGTGTAATCCGTTCGCGCTGATACTAAAGGACGTACGGTTGCAGTTTGTACGTGGGCAATATAATACGGGACTTGAAGCGGGAAATTAGCGAACGCGGTACTATCGAGATATTAATCGGAGAGATCGAGAGGATCACGTCGCAGGAGGAGCAGGAGCGTCTTTTACTAGAAGAGCACGAGCGGATGCAGACGGTCGTGAGCGAGTTACGAAAGACAATCGCCGATAAGAGAACGTCGAACGAGCAGGCGGAGGAACACTCGACGAAGAAGCTCATTTTGACGCGGGTATATAAATAAATACGACGCCGCGTAAGTCCAACAATTGCGCGTGAAATACAATAAATTACGTAAAGAGGCGGTGGTGAGGGGGGCCGAACGGGCGTGTCACGCAAGGACAATAAATCATCAAGTTTTAACGTTTAGCTATTACTCAGTTACGATGTGAGTGTGGTCATGATGAACAAAACTTGTTGGCAAAACGTTAGGACGAGAAGGAGAGACTGAAACTAATTAAGGACGCGGAGATGAGATACGTCCGAGCGTGGGAAGAGGCACGTCGCGAGCAGAATGTGCTGCGTTACGAGTTGGAGATGGACAAACTGGCCAAGACTCTGAACGATTGTAACGCGCGCGAGAGGAACGAGAATCGCGTGAATAGCGAATTGATACGCTATTTGACGCAGCGTATTGCGGTGAGCGCCAACTTTTTCTCTCCATAGTGCGGAGTAAAAGTTTCATACAGCTTATATATATATATATATATATACACATATACACAAGCGCAAAAATGCACGGAGAACTTTAAAGAGACCGTCGTCAAAATCAAACCGAGTGATCGAAGCGATTCGCTCAGCTATGCATGTATATTCTTTAACGAGAGAATTTAGAACGCGACTCCGGCGTTTAACGATTTTTCCTAATGGTATGCAAATTGCGAGATTCAATTTTCGAGAGAGAAAGAGAGAGAGAGAGAGAGGGCCAGAGAGAGAGAGAGAGAGAGAGAGAGAGAGAGAGAGAGAGAGAGAGAGAGAGAGAGAGAGAGAGAGAAAGAGTAATTTGTTCAAAGCAAATTTCATCGACAAAGTTTAAGACGAGATACGCCCTTGGAGAGATGACAAAAATATTTGCTTTGGACTTACAGCTGATCGGGAATCGAATCGAGGAGTGGCAACGCAGGTACGATCGGGAGGAGAAAATGTACGAGAAGGAGATCCGCAAAGTGCGCAATGAGATGGAAGACACTCGCGCGGACTTGGAGGGGCTTACGACGGAGGTAATGATTCGCGGTGCGCGACCTGCGTACGCGAGATATTTTTATTTCATTCCCACGGCGGAATTCAACCGACCGAGCGAGTAATTCAATTTGCATCCGGCCGCTCATTATTTCGGCCGCCACTGCGAATCTTAATTGCCGGATGAAGAGGATCCCGGCAATTAAGGCAACAAGCACAATCACGGGGCTCTTATTTCGCATTCTCTGTATGACTGGCTGATTTACCGCGTCACGTTTCGCCGTAAGCCTATTGGCAATCAGGCACGGATAACTTGCCTCTGCGAGTTTAAAGGGCATGCCGAAGTTTCGCCGGGGAATCGATAATTCGCGTCGAGCACGTGTCCGCTGAGATTCGCTGGAATGTCTCTCGACTGTCATTATCGATAGCCGAATATTCGAATGCTGGAGTTCGCGAGATCCGCTCGTACCTTTCGGATTGGATGTACGTTTGAGCGAAGCTTCAACCCGCTTGTCGATCGCGAAAGTCTGCGCATTTTAATCCCTCCGATATATTCCGCTGTTTGTATAATATCTTAATCCTCATCAACGATAGAGCGTTCAATTAATGACGATGCTCCGAGGTTTCTCCGACGCGCACATTGTTCTCCCGGTGTAAATTTTACACCCCCGCTTTCTTCATCAAGAACGCCTGAATAAATTTGTCACTTTAAACAGAATTACATAGATATATGTATACATTGACTCAGACGACGCGATCTATTCGCGTAACAGTCTCCTCATCAATCATATGCGCGCGATCTCTTTCTCTTCCCTTCCCCATCTCTTCCCCCCTCCCCCCTTTTCTCTCTCACGACCAAATTCTTCGGCAGATTCTATGGCCCCTCTAGCTTTTAATCGTACATCCGTCGTATATCGGTCATTATCGATTCCCTCCTTATTGTCTACGGTGATACGTGATCGGCGTGTAAAGCCGACGAATCCCGAGCAAAGGATGTACTTATTTTCGTGCGGGACAACGAACTGATAATATACGTCGGTGAGCTCGCGCTGAAGTAGGATACGGTGGTTATTGTGTTGCAGTACCGCAGTAACCAGGAATTCATCGACACATACCTTGCGGAGCAGGAGGCGCTCACAAGGCAAAAGGAGCACGAGGATCACGTGCGCCGTAGCGCAATCAGGATGCAAGCCTGGTGGAGGGGCGTTATGGTGCGCCGGAAGTTGGGGCCGTATCGACCAGAGGAGAGAAAGAAGAAGCGGGCCGTTAAGACGAAGAAATAAGTCGCTCTTAAATGTGTAACACCACGTCAACTCTAATTCTACCTGACCGAGCTAGACGGCTATTAATTTATCAGCGACCCGATCGAGGTCGTGACCGCTTAATTGATCTCCCTATATAATTATATATATATATATATATATATATCATTCTCCTGTTGGACTATTATTTATATGATATTATTGAAATACGCGGGACAGTAAGAAGGGGTAATCCGAGCATGGGAAGTCGAAGCGCGCTGAAATTATTTTCGTTCGCTCGAACGGCAGAAATCGAAAGACGGATGACGCGCGCGGGAGTGACCATTGCAGAAATTGCTTCACTGACGAAGATAATATTGATCCTGCTTATCGAAGCTGGATCACAGCGACGGAAAAAAAAGAATATGCTTTTATATTATTTTCCCAATTCGTATCGACGCGACGCTCGATGTGAGAATTCGCAAGCTCCGCGGCCGGCGAAAGAAGCAGCGGAGAGCTGCTTCGACGTGCCGGGGATGAAATGTTGAGCGATGCGAAGAACCGCGCATCAACGGCGCTATCAACGGCGCACCGAGCGAACGGAACGACGCGTTATCGGCGCGACTTTCGTCTCCTGTGATAACGAAATGCAAATTCCGCGAATTGTCGAATGCCAATTCGGTGGCTCACGCGCGCGGAGCTCAACGCGTTTCGCGGCGCAACGTACGTTGAGCGCTGACTGGAGTATTGTTCACGCAAGAATCTCATTTCCTGTGCAGCACTTCCTGGATCCCGCGGCGCGTTTCTCAAACGCTGCATGAAACGCTGTAATAATCGACACGGCTGCCTGTACGCGGCACGAAACGAACTGCGGCACATGCACGCGTCTGTGCGTAAACCGTAGCTCACACCGATGCTCCTCCTTTCCCCCCTCCCCCCCCCCGCCCCTCCCACAATCATTGAAAAGTGCGCCAGGGAAAGGTAACAGCCAGGGAGATATTTTAAATAAATTTCGCTCTCGTGAGAGTTTTTCCAGATAAAACACGCGCCGGAGTGTTTACGACGCAGTCTCGTCGGAAGCGTCGACTGACTTTCTGCTTTATTGCGATTTGATTAATATATCCTCATTCAAGAATACCCTTATGCCGGCATAAACAAAGAATAAAACAAACAATAATATGCCAACAAGCCGTGGCAGCTATGTGGTCGAGGTAATCTTTGTAGCCAGTAATTTCTAACGCGCGTATATATATCACCCGCGCGGTGTTGCGCTTGTAGATATCTTAAAATATCCCCCGAGCACCATTTCAAGCACTTTTACCCGTGCGATTTAAGAGACGCGAGTTTTAAGACGACCCGAACGATCTACCTGCTGGCGTGTCTATGACTATGCTAGCAGTTCGCAGAGTTGGAACATCCCAACTCCTATGCAAGTGGTCTACTCTCCCCGGCTGGCGACGAAAACGGCACGCCAGTTTGCCAGCATTCTCAAATTCCCGACGCTTTTTTTTTTTCACCGACCACAAGCGCGCTGGTGTGCCAGTGAAAAAGTATCGCGGAAACTATTCTTAAAAAACGCGGCTAGCTGCGGTACGAGCAAATGCATGTACGGGCCGTCGCACCAACGGCGCTTAATTCCAATGTAAGCGTCGTAATTCTAGGCGTTTTCGTAATACTTCCGGGAGGCCCGTCGTCCGGACACACACACACACACACACACACACACACACACACACAAACCTATCGATCACACGTGCAACATTCACACGGTCCAATAAAGGGAAAATGAAAATGCACGTACACGCACTCGCGTGCGTTATACGTGAGATATTATACTTGCAGATTTTTTTAATTAACGTGATACGCCACGGACTCCCAGCTTAGGCAAACCGAATATCAAAATGTCTTTTGAGCGGTCCGAATAATCTCTATCTTCGTCCTCCCCTCGAAAATATGTCAAGTATTTGTATCGAGCAGAAGTATCGTCTCGATAAGTGCAACAGCGAACGATTACTTCACGCGTCACTTTAACGAAATCATCGTTCTCCTTTTCGCGCGGCGTGCCATTTTTCAGTCAGGGGTGAAAAATTATCGGGTCGTTTTCGGCCGATTCTTCGATACGGCTGCATCTTAAATAAAACATCACGCGGATCGATCCGTGCCCTTTGCCATCGCTCGCGCCATGTACGCGCTTCTGGATAGTTTTATTTTTATGGAACGATTTACCGGAAGTATACCGCGAGGAGAGAGAGAGAGAGAGAGAGAGAGAGAGAGAGAGAGAAGTTTTAATCCGGCAAAGTTCGAGAATTTAAGACGACAGGGATGTATGAAGCGTTGACTGTTTCCCCCTCGTCGCGGGAAAGCACTCGTCGCGAGAGAACCGCGACACCGTCGAGCCCCGTGCATTTTCCCTCGTAAGAAATTCACGAAGCTACAACACGTAGCTTCGACCCGTAGCTACTACCGCGAAGCGAACGAAAGCATGCAAGCTCACCCGCGATCGTGCGGCCAGCCACCTTCTGAGATTACGATATAAGGAATGGTTAACGCGATGTGGCGGTGCACGCACATGATAGCGCGCCTCGTGTACGTGTATACACATACATATACACAATATGTGTATACGTATACGTATGTGTGTGTGTGTGTGTGTGTGTGTATGTACAATCGCTTTGCTGACCCAGCTTTCGTACATCGATAAGATGTGCTGAAAATGAGACTGCTCGAGAGAGCCGCATGAGAGACTACTCCTGCGAAATTCCGCGGTTTCGATTTTTTGGTCACCGCAAATCCCTGAATTCGCTGTATCGAAAAGTTGTCGCGGGATTGGCGCGTCGTATTAACCTTTCACGGCCGGCTGACCCAGCGTAAAACCCGCGTCATTTCCGCGGGTGTGTATTTCTGCCGGAGATTGAAACTTGCATAATTTCGTCGAGTTGAATTTTCTATCAGCATGGGAGACGAATATGATTTCCTTGCGCGTTATTATTATCGCATCTTGTCGGTTAGGTTATTTTCGCTCGTTTGCGACCCCGTTGTTTCGGCTCGCCGAAAGCCCAACGGGGTTTCAATTGCGAAGTGATGAGAGAACAACGTGTGCTTTAATTGTTTTTACAGGCTCGCTGCGTACACACACATTCGGGATCGCCTTACTGTTTCTAACACGTATATAAGCGAGATTATCTGTACGAGTGCAGAAACATAACGAAAAAGTGCAGGAAAGGCGGACGTAAACGCGGAACATATCGCGGCAAATGTCGCGAGAGACAGCATTGTGACGAGAGAGACGGCGTGCTTTTGACGTTTAAATAACTTTACGCACGACGGTCTTTGGCACGCACCGGCGCGGCACGGCGCGAATTAATCCAAGCGACCGAAATCGCTATTAGACATTCGAATGATCCACTAGATTAGATACCGCTTCGGCATTCGGACAATCCCCTCGAACGTGTGAGAGACTCGCTCGCGAGTGATTGGCAGAACGTGGTGGGCGAGCCGGGCTTCGATAATCAGACGGAAATACCGGCCTCCGAATGTATCCGCCTGATTGAAGCGTATCGACGCATTGCATCGCAGCAAATGGATACAACGTCGGTACAAGGGCGAGACACCGGCGAGATACTTCCACGAAATCGAAAGACAAGTCGCCATTTTTTCGCCTTTATTTTCATGTCATTTACGTGTCTAAGACGAATGCCTGAATGCCGATTAACGAGTGATCAAGGTCGGGAGAAAGTCAAGATCCGTCGATTATCACGACTGTTGTTGGTCAATTTTTTACACTGTTTACTCGTCTCTCACTGCGTACATTCTTACTCCCATTGTAGACGGAGCTTTATCGTTCTTTCCGATGAAAAAGAGATGTCCGATCGCGTCAAGTATTCATAAGCGAGATACGAGAGGAGGAATTAACAAAGAAATTAATTTCGCACAGATGGGGCTCGAGCGGAAGCCACAAAATGACTGACTCACAGCGGCTCGTGCGCCGGCATCTCCCGATTCGCCGAAAATTTGAAACTGATCGCCATTGAGAACGTGAACCTTCATAAAACTCGCGCTCGATAAACCGCTGTTTTCGCGTTTGCCAAATCGTACGCGGCAGACGTCAGAGGCGAAATCGTCGGACGATCAATTGCGCGGACATAGAGAACTGATTTACTCACCGGTCGATGCGTCGCCATAACCTCGTCGGCGCCAACAGCTCCGTCCGGCCGTGGCACGGCTCTCGCACTTGAAGCACTCGCGAACTCGCGCTAATGTTAATTAGCGAGATATACGCGCGACAATCGACCGTCTCGTTGCGTTCGCGACGCACTCGCAACGGGCAAACGACGCGACGCGAGCTTCTTCAACGACACTCCCGGCCACTCGTTCGGGCGCGCTGCGACAGGCGAAAAATTCGAATTACCCGGTGGCAAACTTCACGACGCTGCAGGAATGCCACCCCGCGCCGCGACGCGAAACACGACGACCGCGAGCTCGAGCGCGCACACGAAGAAATATAGCCGGTCGCTGCGACATATCTCAAGTAATACGGGAATTCATTTCGCCGATGCCGATCGCGCGCACGGCTGATTCTCTGCGGATGGCCAGCGCGAAAATAATTGACAATTAACGCGCCACGATCGATGGATCGAAAGACGAGCGCCGGCCGGCTCGAAGCACCTGCGGCACGAGCGAGTAAATTACCAATACCGGAGACGAAGGGCGACGTTAATTAACGCTAATTAACACGCCACGACGATCTCGTGCGTCACTCCCGGCAGTCGTTCGCTGGCGGAGAGACGCTACCGCGGCGGAGAAAACACGCGACGGAATTATACACAAAGGACACTGTCCTTGGCGAAAAGTCGGACTGACGAACGCGAAGCGCTGTGAAGTCAGATATAAACAAGAGTCAACTTGCCCCTTCCCCCCTTGCCACTCGGGCAAAAATTCGCGTTACGCCGATCGTACCGGTAGTGTGACGTCCGGCCGAACTGTAACTTTGTAAATACATAACTACATGCGGAGACCGCATGCTCGAATCTAACGTCGCGATAAGAACAGCCGATTACCGACGAGCCTTTTAATGCGATTGAGATTGTGCAATCCGATAAGCAAATCGATACGTTGGTGCGATTAACAGCTCGTCAGGGGGAACTAATCTACGCGTGCTACCCCGATGTATCAATTCTGTTTTCTTTTTATCAAGAAATTGCAATAATTGCGAAGAAAAGAGAGATGAATAAATATAAGAACAGATACGACGAGGAAATTTTAGCGTATCCATCTTCTACGAACTTCAGTCCCAACTCAAAGCCGGAAGGCTAGATTCTCTCGCTCAGAGATCGAACATTTATGACGCTACAGTTTTCCGCGTAAAATTGACATCGTGACAAAAACAGTCGTCGGTGTACAAAGATTGAATTGTCTATTATCAAACGTACGCGTTTGACTTGCTGTTGTTTTGTGAACTTTCACGGACGGGGCGGGAGGTGGGGAATAACCGCTATCTCTGTTATTTCGCGAATGTTCATCAGTTGTTCGGGCGCAAATATGCGAGTAACCTAATGTCGCCGAAATAATTGTATTAACGCATATGATGCCGCGATCGGTCGCGATAATGTCAATTACGATAACGAGCGGTAGCGGACAATCGATATCTATCTGGCCCGCATGTATGTGTCTGTATGTGCACATATGTGTAGCCCATCTACCTGTTCGTCTACACGCGACATTCTTCTGGATTCCATCGTCCCTCTCTTCCTTGTTCCTACTCCTCTCTTCGTCCTGCCTAGCATTCGTGTCGCATAGAGATTCATTGTTGTTGCACCTTGCTGCTCCGTTATCTCCGCGATTCTGGGTCAACTACGCGACGGGGTAAGGATAAGTCGGACATTGCTGTGAGTCAGACGAAGACAAATGAAAATGGCGAGAACAAGGATGGAGAACGAATGGAGAAGAATGTAGGGGAGGAGGCAAAGGGGAAGAATAAGGAGATCGAAAAGCGATTACTGCTGTCGTCGGACACTTTACCCCGATGTGGCATTATTCTTTTTCATCTTCTCCTCGCAATTGTGATCGATCTATTTGCTGTACATAATCTGATTATAAAATTAATTTTATCCTCAGAATGTTTGCTCAAAACTCTTTTCCGACAGATATAATATTTAAAAATATTAGGTGTACAAATGGATAATCCAAATTATTTTAAGCAGTTACGAAATCAATTTTAAATTGAATAGATTTTCCCGCTCTTTCGTGATTATGCAATGTTGACATATAGCTATTAAAAAGAACATATATAATTTGGCGAAAGGCCCAACATAACCTTCAAAAGTATTCAGTTCAGTACAGTCGAAAATGGCAACAGATAAGGTGCATATCCGACACTGCATTCTTTACGAATTCCAACAAGGAAAAAATGCTGCAAGAGCGTGCGAATCGATTTGTTTCTTTCTCGGCGAAGGCGTTGTGTCGTTGTGCGCATTTTGGTTTAAGCGGTTTAAAAGCGGTAATTTCAGTCTAATCGACAAACAACGCCCTAGAGGCCCTCGGAAGTGTGATAATGATGATTTGGAACAACTGCTCGCTGAGAATTTGGCACAAACACAAAAAGAGCTTGCAGAACAGTTGGGAGTAACGCAGCAAACGATTTCCAAACGCCATGAGATGGGAAATATCCAGAAAGAAGGAAAATGGGTTCCGCATGAACTCACTGAAACCAACAAAAATCAACGAGTGGCAGCGTGTCTTTCTCTTCTCAATAAGTAGCGTCGAAAGTTTTTCTTGTGGAAAATCGTTACGGGCGATGAGAAATGGATACTCTATGACAATCCGAAACGCAGAAAGTCATGGGTAAATCCCGGCGAATCATCAAAATCAGTCGCAAAACCCAATCGCTTCGGAAAGAAGGTTCTTTTCTGCATTTGATGGGATATCAAGGGTGTGCTTTATTATGAGTTGTTGGAGCCGGGTGAAACAGTTACTGCGGATTGTTATCAACGTCAATTAATCTGCTTGAGTCAAGAATTGGAACGAAAACGCCCGTATACTGGCAAAGGAGAACCAGGAGTCCAGTGAAATTGTTGCATGACAACGCCAGACCACACATTGCTTCCAATACAAAAGACACCGTAATGAGTCTTGACTGGAACGTCTTGCAGCACCCGGCATATTCACCAGACATTGCTCCATCCGATTATCACTTGTTCCGGTCGATGCAACACGCCTTGTCCGATATGCACTTCCAATCAGTGGATGAGATCCGAAAATGGCTTGACGACTTTATCGTGTCCAAAGACGTAACATTTTTCCGAGATGGAATTCATCAGCTGCCTGAAAGATGGCTTAAAGTTACAGAAAGCAACGGCGAATACTTTGATTGAACAATTTTATTTACTTTCTTTTAAAATAAACCTTGAATGTAGCTGAAAAAATTGGATTATTCATTTGTACACCTAATATTTAAAAAGAGAAATAATTCTTTTTAATTTTTAATTTTGAAAAAACTTCAAAGTTTTGATTTTAAATTTAAAAACTTTTTATTTAAAGACAATCAACTAGAGGACATTTTAATTTTATTCAATTTAGATACTTCATAGAAATCATTCTCGACTCAATGCCGAAGATCGAGATGAATGTTAATTAATTATTTATTGGATACGTTTCTTCTATCATTAAAAAAGGCAGTAAAATATCTGTCTAAATAAATAGTTTTATAAAAAAATCCAATAGGGATATTCTAATAGGGAATTTGGACTTCTCATCTTTAAAATAGGAAAATTTATCTGCAGGAGTATTTCAACTGAAAAATAAATTCTGCATACACATTCACAGAAAAATTGTTGATTCAATTATAAATATAAAAAACAGAATGTAACAATATAACATCTTTTACACTGGATGTATTTTCAATCAATTTTTCCCTATACGATAGCCAATAGGAATGCGCAGCATGCGACGTCGGATAACACATGAAATATTAGCTTTAGCCGGATTGCGCTAGGAATGGCGCCAAGGCGCCGCCATTTTCACGAAACTTTACCGTGGCCGTAAAACGCGAAGGCACCGACGAGGGAAGTGTACCAGTCGTGCGCCCGTTGGGCGATCGCCGCGAAATTCACCAAGAAAATGAAAATAATGCACTCATTGTAAGTACAATTCTTCGTTCGGCCCATGGACTGTACGCGAAGTGGCTAGTTTTTTTGAGCACGAAACACAGGGCCTATGGCATGGGACTTCCGTTCAATGTGAACAGGAACAGGAAGTTCCTCGCTACCTAAGACGGCGAAATAAAAACATCCTGTGGCGATGCAATTTGATTTCGAGAAACCGATAGATCACACGCGCTGCGTGCGTGAGTCGAGGTCGTGGATTTTATAATCGTTGATAAAAGAACTTGGTTATTTTTATAACCCATTTACGATTTTGTTGGTCCAAGGTCGAACGTCAGATACTAACACCTCGAAACGAGTCGCGTGCAGCTGCTTCCAACTATTCAGGAAGAACCTACTACTTACTACTGTCACTGTTATGGATAATCTCATTTTAGAACTTGTCCACTCGAAGAAAACTGAGCACAAGACACAAAAATGCAAACTGAAAGTATATCTACCCATAATATTGAGGATCTGGACACAGATGCTCTCATACCAGTAAGTAGTAGTTACTTTGTTGCGTACCGAATATGAAATGATTCATTATATGATGGGCCACTTTAATTTGGGGTAACAATCTTCTATTATAAATACTTAACAGTAATTTGAAACTTATCAGGTGGAGATATTTTCTTGTGTTACTTCACGTGCAAGATCCCAGGATACCATCTCGGTAGTAGAGCTTGGCAAGCAACTATTAGTTAGTGCAAAAACTGGAGACATCGAGACTGTCCGTGAGCTTATGAGCAGAGGTGCACCGTTTAGTACCGATTGGGTACGTCAATATTTAAAGAATTATACATATAATTTATATTGACAAAGTTTACAATTCTATCTTTCCTATTTCAGCTCGGTACAAGTGCACTCCATTTAGCTGCACAATATAATCATAAAGAGATAGCTGAGATATTACTCAGAGCTGGAATGTCGAGAGATGCTAAGACAAAAGTTGATAGAACACCATTACACATGGCAGTGTATGAGGGCCATTGTCAGATGGTACAGTTGCTACTATTTCATGGAGCAGATGTTGATAGCAGGGATATGGTATAATATCAGAATATGGATTATAAATTTGCTAAATAGTTATTTCATAGAATTAACATGAATGAATTTTTCAGTTGAGAATGACTCCATTGCATTGGGCGGTAGAACGTGAACATGTAAGGGTAATACATACTTTACTGGAATATGGGGCTGACCCAGCTGCAATTAGTAAATTTGGTAAAACACCAGTTAGTCTTGCGTTGGAGCATGACAGGCTAGATCTAGTGGATATATTGCAACAAGAAAGGGAAATAGTAGGTATTAAAGCTCACCAGCAAAGTGAAGCCAATTCTGCAGAATTAGAAGCAGCTACACATAATTTAATGCAATTAGAAGCTGATGAGATAAAAGATAAATTGGAATCATTGGAGCAACTGTCTTCGCCTAAACAGAAACTTGTCCATGGTATGACATATCTTTTTTATAAAAACGAAATTTTCTATTTCCAATGTTTATTGTATCCATTTCTTCACTTCTTGTAAAATTGCAGCTCAGGGTGAGGGAAAGCCAAAAGTGATCTTTCAACAGATTCGTGTATCTCCTAATAGTAGCGAACAAGAAAAAGAAATAAATGATATTGAAATGGTCGACACAAATGATATTATAAATAGTAAAAAACATAAAGACATCACATCAATAGGAAACGTTAATAAGCAGTTTAGATTATTAGAAGCGCATGGAATCAGAATGATACCTGTTGATGATGAATCATCTATTGTAGAAAATGCAATGGAAAGTGGAAGAACGGTGGTTTTAACAGGTTTGATTTCTCTTTTTATTTGTTACGTATTAAAAACAAAAAGGAAAATGGCATGGTGGAGTGTCCCTCATGATAATTGTTATTGTAGAAGCTGGAAAACTCGCTTTGAATTCAACTAGAGGTTCGTTTAATATAAGACGAATTCAAGTTTCTCCGCGGAAAGGAACAGCGAGAAAGGTCATAATTAAATCGAATCAAATCATAAGTCAAAATTTACCTACCGTTACGTCACGAGCTCCAAATATCCTGAAGAAATCTTCCATAGATAGTAAAGCTGGAAAAGTATTCATTACAACGGTTCCTACTACCACTACGGTACCTATTGTCAATGAATCCAGCAATTCTTTTTCATCGAATGAGGTAAAATTACTTTGTGTAAAAGATTAATAATATATGAATAATATATATAATTTTACAAATATAAAAGAAAGAACAACTTTTTTGTCTTAGAACAAAGCTGTAGTTTCTACAAAACTCGTAGAACCAATAATTTTAAAATTAAACGACGATATAGAAGAAGTTACCGAAGAAGATAACTTAGAAGACTCTAAGACCGCAACAGACATAGCGGAATTGACTAGGCAATTAATAGAGACGCAAAAACAAGCAGCTGAGTATTTTAAGCAGTACAAGAAGAAGGAGAGGGAAGTGGAAATATATAAACAGCAAATCAAGAACCTCACGGCGCAAAAGAACATCTAAATAATTTTATACAAGTAAGAATTTTATATTTAGTTTCAAAACTCACAAATCGACTCTATTTCTTTATATTAGATGTTTCACACACATACGCATCTTATTGTCGGATTCTTAAGAAAAATTCTAATCAAAATTTTTTTTTTGAGATCTAAATTTATTTTGTTTCCACAAATATTATGTGATGTCTTTATGTTTTTTACTGTTTATAATATCATTTGTATCGACCATCTCAATA